TGAATTATGTCATGTTGTTCACAATATAAATTAAATTTACTAGAAAAAAGTATTCACCACCTCTATCACTTCTTAGAGTCTTTATTTTCTTTGCTAAATGATTTTCAACTTCATTTTTATACATCTTAAATATGTCAAAAGCTTCATATTTATGTTTCATCAAGTACACATATGTATATTTAGAAAAATCATCAATAAAAGTAATGAAATATCTATTTCCACCTCTAGTTAACACGTCATTTAATTCACATATATCTGTATAAATTAATTCCAAGATATTAGAGGTCCTTTTCACACTTTGATATAGCTTTTTAGTCTTTTTGATTCTACACATGTTTTACATTTATGTTCATTATTTTCATCATATGAAATCAAATCACATTTTTTCATACGTTTCATAGTACTTTTACCAATATGTCATAATCTAGCATGTCATAATGAAAATAGATCAACAACATAATCGAAATTAGTTTTATTCATTTCCTTGTCAATAGTACAAAGTTTGACCATTCTTTTACTAGAATAACCTTTTCCAACAAATTTTCCATTAAAGGAGAGTACAAGTTTACCGGATTCATACACACATTTGATACCCAATTTTCCTAAGAGAATACCACTTACTAAGTTCCTATTCATAAATAAAACATGTAGTACATTGGTAAGGCTAATGATTTTCCCGAAAGTGAAGATGATATCAACATTTCCCTTTCCAATAACATTGGATCAAACTTCGTTGCCCATTTGAATCTCTTGATCTCCATCCACCTCATGATATGTTTTGAATACAATTTTGTCATATGATACATGTACAGTAGCACAAGTATCATAACACCATCCAGGAATCTTTCCCTCGATTGCATGTATTTCGCTTACGGTGGTCACGATTTTATCTTCCTGGATGGAGTTCACTTTGCCCTCGAAGTTGTTTTGTTTTCATTGTCTACAATCTTTTGCATAATGTCCAGATTTTTTCACACACAAAACACCCTCATTTGGTCTTCTTCTTGGACTTGTTAAAGTTCATCGAAGGGTTCCTCTTGTTGGATTTTGTTGGCGGTTCAGATTTTTCAACAACATTAGCTTTGGAAGTTCCCTCAAAGGAGTTTTCACTCTTGTCGCGCAATCTGAATTCTTCCTCGATCCGAAGATGCTTTTACAATTGTTCCAAGGAATAATCATTGGAACTATACATGATCTTCCTCCTGTATCATTTCCAAGCCCCTGGGAGTTTAGCAATTATGGCTCCCACTTGAAAGGTCTCTGGGATTTCAATCTTTACCGCTTTTAGTTTGTTGACAATGACTTGCAATTCGTGTACTTGGGGACAAAGGAAGATATTATCAAGGAATTTAAAGTCGAAGTATTTAGAAATTAGAAACTTCTTGGTACTTCCTCTTCCGCTTTATACTTATTCTCCAATGCTTCCCAGATTTCCTTTGCAGAAGTGTTTGTGTATAAGTCATATAAACGGTCCGACAAAGCATTTAGTATGTGACCGCGACATATTGATTCATTTTCTTGTCGTTTTTGTCTTTCAGCCTTGACTGCCTCGGTCTTTCCATTTGTAGGTTCGGTAGTGGAGCCAATTCTGGATCCAAAATATAGAAGATCTTCAATGCAGTAAGTAGAAATTTCAACTTGTCTTGCCACCGCGTGAAATTTGTACCATCGAACCTATCCAACCACACCAGGTCTTGATTCATAAGTTTAATGGTTGCCATTGTAGTCTCGTTCTCCATTGCAAGAAAATAACGTTTGAGATTGTTGGAAATAATTGAAAGATGGAGAAGAAACAAAAGAGAAAATTACAAGAAAATGTGGCAACAAGATGGATCAAAACAAAATTTATATCAACAAATGTGAAGGCTCGAATGCAGGATCGCTGTCCTCAAACGTTATTTGCCTCTTCTTCGATGTGGTCGAGATGCTAAAAGGTATTTCGGCCAATAGTTTGAAGGATTATAACAAGTCTTGTAAAAAATTTCACCAAAGGACAAGATGAAATTCTCCAAAACTTGAAGAACACGAGGATATGAATATAAATCGGGATTTGATTTTCTTGAAACAAAGTATGGATTGCAAGATGTTTTTCTTACTTCTTTCCCTCAAACATGGCTCTCCAATATATAGCCATCGACCAGAAGCACGAAATGGTGCCAAAAAATCAAGTGAAAGGTCACCAAGTTCAAATTTGCAACGACAAAAAAGGGTCAAAAAATATGTAGAATACAACAGCATGACCCATGCCGAGACCAAATGGTCTCAGCCTAAGGCCATGCAACCGCATGGCATATAGCCACGCGGTAGCATGGACCCTCCTTTTTTTATTATTGTTGATTTTGAACAACATAATCACAACAAGTTCTTGTTCTTCGAGTGAGTTTCTTCTAGCAAGAGTTATGACCTTAAGGTTCACAATCTTCATGATGACTTTATTTTTACGATTTTGCGTCCATAATAGTCGATTTCAGAGCTTAATTGTGGTTGTTGTCACATCAATTTTCGGAACAGAAACCAAGTGACCCACTAGTTAACCTCTTTAGCCATTTCTTTCTTGGTGACTTACATTGAGTCGATTGTATTCATCATATTGTGTCGCATGCAATTTTAAAGCGTCTATTTTAATAAGATTTCATGTCTTTAGATCCAAAAGTCAAAATAATAGATGTGCAGGGCTTAAAAGGTATGGACAAGACACATCTCATCCAATCCAAACCGTCCTTCAACCGCAATTAAAGGATGGATAATTATATTTGGACGAAGTCACTAACAACAATAAAAAACGATGGCTAAGGCAAGAAGCTTCAACATCACACGCATATCACACGCTTTGTCCAGCGTTGTTTGTTTACCAAAGCCAAAGTGTGTCTGAAGGAGAATGAGATTTATTAACCTTTGCCCACGCATCACATATACCCAATCCCACCAAATAACCGTCGACTCTTCGCTTTCCGTACTCTTTATTTCTTGGATATTTTCACTCTTTCTGGGTATTCTATAAATTTTTGAAATTTCGCTTTTTGGGTAAGTTTTGGTTGAACTATTAGATCAAGTAACCATATCGATTATTCATTTTTTGTGTATTTTTTAAAGGGTTATTTTGCTTGATTTTTAGGTGTTGCTTGAACTCATTGTTTATACACGAAAAATAGTATGAACCCGCAATATGGAAGTGGAAGTGGAAGCGCTAGCTCAAGCTCGAGCTCGAGTTTTAATAGCAGTTCGCAGGATACAGAGGATGATCATACAATTGCTACAATATTGGCAGAAGAAGAAAGACTAAAAGGTGATGGGAGACTCGGCAAGAAGCTTTCTCATTTGGATTCGATCCCGGTATTGTATATATTATAATCAATCGCTCAATTAATTTATTTTCCCCTTATTGAATGCTGATAATGGAACTTTTTGTTACATAAAAGGAGATTACGAACTTGAAATTATCATCTGTTATTACTAATAGTCGTTTGATCTACACTTGAATGCCTTTGTTGATTATCATTCTCATGTGATTGATGATTTTTCTAATTTTTTCCTGATTGAACAAAATACTAATTGAAATGATCCGAAGTGCACTTTCAGTTAAACTTGCAAGAATTTACATATTGTTTAACAGAAATTATGGAATGTACTGCATTTTATTCCATAGTATTTAATGATTTCTGGTGATGACGGGGTTTGATGAAGGGTGCACATCCAGAGCTGGTGTAGAGAGGTGGCAGGAGCGGCATAAGATCACACGGGTCGACTAAAAGAATTTGCATATTGTTTTACTGGGATTCTGGAACAAACTGTATTTTATACTGTTAAAATAACATATAACGTGTTGGGTGTTTTTGGCTATACATAAGCTTACAAATTCACAAATTTGCAGCACACGCCTCGGGTAATTGGTGATATACCTGATCCAAATGATGCAACTTTAGACCACGGGAGGCTTTCTGATAGGTTATATTTTTTCTCCAGTTTTCTTTTTTTGTTCTGATTTTTTGCGTACTTGTTACTCTTTATTTTGAGGATTTTTTTAAGGACATTTAGGGAGAGGGAAATGAATATAGCTACAATGTCTATAACTCTTTTAAGTATATTTTTTTTTTTCAAAAATCCTATATTAACCTTGTCCTTCATCTCCACTCACTTCCATTTCTATTCCCTCAGTCTTAAAATAAAAGCATCGAACAAGTGGCTTAAAGCCTTTGTCGGTGAGGTAAAAAATTAAAATAAATAAATAAATAAATAAATAGGAGAAAAAGAAAGGATCGACACTAGGAATAGAAAGGGGAAGTTGGTAGGAAAGTTTTTGCAATTATTTGTTTACTTTGAATTCATTCGTTTACAAAAGGGGATCTTTTTCCTCATATAACTCTGACTGTTGCAATAATAGTTTAATGGGTCTTTTTTTCTCCATTTTTCTTCTTCAAGAACTTTTTGACGATATTTAAAAAGTACACGTCTTTTCATATTTTCTTTTGGTGTGTCTGTTGCCTATGGAGGATGGAGTGGTTTGCTGACCTGGTCATATTATGGATGTGAATCGTTGTAGAAAGGCTTTCATGCCCTGGCAGTATAGTGATATTATTGTTTGATCCTTCGCGCCTTTGTTTTCACTTAACTGGATACTTCTTTCTAGAAAGGCTTTCCTTAATATATTTAGCTGTCATTCAGGTTGACAACATATGGACTAGCCGAATTACAAATCCAGGGAGATGGGAATTGCCAGGTTTGTCTCTCTTGACTAATCTATTACACTTATCTAGTTGATGAATTTTCTTGTTTCGTAGACAATGTATATAGTATCTATTTATGACAATATTTATCAGTATTTTTTATTGGAAAACAAGGATAATTGAAAAATATTTCCGAGCTTGGGTCGTTTTCTTCAATTTAGATCAGTTTACAGTTACCTTTCAAGCTTGTTTAGTAAGCTTGAAAATATGTAAAAGTTACTTTATATTTATTGTTTTCAACCTTATCAATTAAAATAATTATTTATTTTAAAACTTATTAACTTATTAAACTTTTTATGCTTAGTGAATCATGCTCTTAGTTATGCAATCCCATTAGTATCTTATCTTGGTGTCCTTATTTGGGACCTCGTTGACTTTTATACCTTCAAGGCCATTCTATGATTTTGTACCTTCCAATGAATGACAATCAAATCCGTTATAGTTTTTATAATTTATTTTAAAATTTTGTTCAATTTATTTTATTTTTCTACATCGCTCTCCTTGGTATAGTTGTAATTGTGTGCTTGACTTACTTGACAGTTCCGGGCCCTCGCAGATCAGTTGTTACAGAATCCTGACCACCACAACTATGTAAGAAAGCAAGTCATCAAACAGGTATAGTTCAAATAACTTCTCATGCATTGATTTGTTCCCTTCTTAATCACATGTCATCAGCAAATGATACAAGTCTTGGAATAAGAATCTATAACGCACTAGAACACCTTTACCGATGATCCTTTGCCCAACTAGCTGTTATGTTAGTTGTAGTGCGTCTTTCCTCCTCTCACTTCGAAAAGATTTAGCAGTATTTTTGATGACCCAATTGAGAGAGTATGATACATCGGCTTACTATGGTGATTAATGAGGATGTTAAATAAAGAACTTAAAATTTAATTATTATCTTCCTGGTCACTTGTTTTTGTAAAAATAGAAAAAAGAAGAAAATTTCTTAAGTAGCTATTCAACCTTGACATAAATCACGTTATTCAACCCTAGTTCAGCATTGGTTTAACCCTTGTCTCTTTATCTTTTGCAATCAATGATCGGGTAGGTTTAAAAACATTTCTACATTGTAAAGTAATGCCTCTTCTGGTATTATTTTGACAAGTGGGTCTGTTTACTTTTGTAAATAAACAAATATGATGATAAGGGGCCAAAAATTGAAGAAGAAAAATAGGTAAGGGAGCCGTAAGTGGAGAAAAGAGAATGAACTATGGGATTGGTCTTAATGGTAGGTCCGGTGCCTAGCTGGCATCCACCATTTGTGCAAGGCACGTTTTGGGTCCACTAGGATGATCCCGGAGGGGTCTTGGTATCATTTCACAAGTTTAGATTTCTAATTGATGGCGTTGAAATGATGCTCTTTTTCACCTTTGCACCAATATGATAAGGGCCAAAAATATGATGATAAGGGGCCAAAAATTGAAGAAGAAAAATAGGTAAAGGAGCCGTAAGTAGAGAAAAGAGAATGAACTATGGGATTGGCCTTAATGGTAGGTCCGGTGCCTAGCTGGCATCCACCGTTTGTGTAGGGCACGTTTCAGGTCCACTAGGATGATTCCGGATGGGCCTTGACAGTTGGTATCATTTCACAAGTATAGATTTCTAACTGACAGCGTTGAAACGATGCTCTTTTTCACCTTTGCACTAACTTCATATTAAGGGTTCAGTGCGCAAACTGCATGTGAACCTTGGATAAAGTCAAATACATCAAGGGAGTTGAAAATAGAAAAACTTCTGCATCTCAAAAATATTATAATTTACAATAGAAATAAATAACTGAAGAATAGAAAACAGCTCCAAAAAGACAGTTTACTACATTTTAATGCTCAATTCAGACACTTGAGCTTGTCTCTAAAGGTTGCTGGTAAACCAACATTTTGTAGTCTGCAGTAGTGGATAATTCAGCGAGCTACACAGCCCTGTAGAAAACAGACCAAAATATATTTTATAAATTAATTGATTTTTCAAGTGCTTTCAAGATTTTCAAAATGAATGTTTTCTTTTCATTTGGTGTGAGAGTTTCAAGAATGTTTTCTTTTCATTTGGTGTGAGAGTTCAAGAACAGATACGAGTTGAATGCCTTTGTTCCCTCTTTGGGATATCCCAAACTATTAAACAATTTCCTAAAATTAATGCTTCATTTCATTATTCTAATTTATCCTTGTGAAGTAGTAAATTATTCTGGGTTTTTCATATTTTTGGAGTTAAAAACACGTGACTTCACACCACGTTACTTTGCACATCAAAGAATATGAATTCAAATTGTGATTAAGGGAGAATATTTAGAAGGGTAGTTAATTTCCTAGGAAAGCTTAAACGACCATGTGAGCAATACTATCTCTCACTCAGCCTGGTATGACAGAACTAGTATGATTATAATGCCATTATTCAGATTGTTCCAGAGTTTCTGGGGGTAAATATAGGCCGTCCATATAATTTTAGAGTTTAATGTCATATACAGAGCTAAATTGAGAAGAAATAGCAACTATGGTGACAAATCTTCAAAGCAACCTGTTGTCCACATTCACGTGTCTTTTCGGAACTAGTTTTTATGGTGCACTTTATAACATCAAAGATGTGTTAACAACGTGACATAAGATTAGACAATAAGCTTTTGAAAACAAGTCTGAAAATGCACTTCTATCTTCATTTCTTGCATTTTGTAATCTGATAAAGATAATAACTACTTGAATTTCAAGACATGTAACCCTGAGAGGTAGTTCAGTTGTTATGTTTTGGGTTTGTTCCCTAATAGTTACCAGTTCGAGTCTCCTCAGGACCACTAAGGTGAGTACCCGACTGTAAACTTCAGGACCCCGTGGAATTAGTTGAGGTGCGCGTAAGCTTGTCTGAACACCCATGGTCATAAAAAAATAAAAAAATAAAAAAATAAAATAAAAATTTAAGACATGTAAATAGTGTTGTGAAGAGGCTTTCTACCCAAAATTTCTGTCCTATAATCATGGTATTGACTATATGGAAGAACTACTAATTTATAAAGTTAGTTTGATTATTATATAACCAAATGATCTTGGAAGTACATAGGTTGAGAGAACATCCAATGGTTTCGGTCTAACAAAGCTAAATTAACAAAGCTAAAGAACCTTTATAACTGGTCCTTTCGTGGGATGTGGGCAAGTCAGAATATGAGTATTTATTTTTATTTCACTTTGCTATATAAGTGTGCACACACACTTGAACCAAACCATATCCTTATATCTTCTCTTAACATACCATAATAATTTCCAATAGTGGGTTTCTCTTGGTTAGTAGCACCGCATTATTAATATTTTTTATTTACAACTGTTTCTCTTATTTCTTTGCTTAGATAATGATCTCGGATGTAATTACGTTATGCCTTCTAAAAGAGTGTTAGCTTTTTCTTATTTTAGTCTTTGGATTTTCTTTCAGTTAAAACACCACAAAAATCTCTATGAAGGTTATGTCCCCATGAAGTACAGAAGCTATGTGAAGAAGATGAAAAAGTCAGCTATCTCTAGTCCTTGGGTATCAGTTCTTTTCATATTATTCTCTATGATTCATTATGTCTTATTGATATGATTTACTTTCATTAGGCTGGGGGAGTGGGGAGATCATGTTACTCTACAAGCAGCTGCAGACAGAGTAAGATAAAATTTTGATCATGAAGTATTCTAGTACTCTAAGCTTAAGTATCTCCTTTTGCTTATACATAATGCGACTCTGATTGTTAATGTCTGTAGACCTATAGAGGTTTCATATAAGAGTGAAACGGTCTCAATAGAACATGTTAGAGGGAGAAGTGGATTTTTAAGGATTTAACTGTTTTGGATCTTCCAGTAGTTATAGCAATGAACAGAATGAAATGGCGAAAAACGATGTAGTCAACCAAAATCTATTGGGAAGAAGAATTAGTTTGTTGTCTGTATAATGTTCATGTCACTTGGAATATATAAAGAATGTCCTGTCTGTTTTTAAGGATGTAAATTAGGAAAGACTAGCTGAGCTGAGTACTAGGTTAGCCAATCTTGTTTTGATTTCTAAGCAAACTTGAATATCATTTTAACATTTTTTTATTATAACAAGCCAATTAAAGGCAAGCTCGAACAGTTCTCTCACATCTATTTAACTTGTATGATTTGTCAAGTCGAGCTAAAATTGATTTGGCCAGCATAAAATCTTGATTAAGCCCAGTTTGTTATTTTTGTGAACTAATCTATGTCTAGCTTTTAATAAACAAATATTTGAGAGTTGAAAAGCATCAGTTAATTGCCAAATTTTATGAACATATGTTGGAAATATTGTCACAAGCATATGAACATGCACTCTTAAATTTACTCTTCCAAGTTAGACGACATCTGTACTACATTATTTCAATTTCAATGTCTGTATTCCTTATTATGTTGGCACCTGACTATTTTGAACTTTATATAGTTCGAAGCAAAAATTTGTTTAGTCACCTCTTTTCGGGACTCGGGCTATATTGAAATCCTTCCTAAGGACAGAAATCCATCTAGAGGTACACATATTGTATTGTCTAATTTTGTTTTACTTTCTTCTTCATCTTAAGATTTTTATGGTGAAAAAAATTTAAGCCCATGTATAAGTATCATTAAAATGAAACTAATATTTTTTTGATGTTTCCATTTCCTATTGTGGATTATGAGTTGCACTTTATTATTTCCATTGACATTTTTTTTTTTTTTTTTTTTTTTTTTTTTTGTGTTTTGAAGAGTTATGGTTGAGCTTTTGGAGTGAAGTTCACTATAATTCACTGTATCAAACTGGTGGTAAATATTTCTTACTTTCTTCTATTTTTACATTTTAGATTTCATAAAGTTTGAAATATCGCATTCATATCCGGACATCTAACCTTTTTCTCCTGATATTTGACAGAGGTTCCTGCAAGGGTAAACAGAAAAAAACATTGGCTTTTCTAAAGCTTTTGCTCGAATTTCCCTTGCTGGCGAAGAGCACGATATGTACACAAGCGCCCTATACGCTTTCACTCGATTAGTTGTTGATATACAAATAAAATTCCGAGGATTGGCATTCCATTGCTGCTTTTATTATATAATATGTATGCGACTTAAATATCTTTCAAACGTGTAATTTATCACCTTACAATACCGTCAAGGGAGAAGCATATTGCAGTGGCATTGCCATTCTTGATACCGTATTAAAGAGTATCATTTTCTAAATAATTGTTGACACCATCTATTAAAGTTGTGATTCCCACCTCCTTCAAGAACCATATGAAGGTATTCTACCGTCTTAGTATCGATTAATGACTTAACGGTCATCCACACTTTGTTGTTACAATATGGTCCAAGTTACATGTATTATATGATCCAGACGATATGCTTGTAGAGTCATGCTATTTGTACAATCATACTTGTCAACTTTACATTCATTTATTTCAAAAAATGTTTTTAAAATTAATGGATCAGATTTTGACAATATCAATATTGTCATCCATTATTGTTAATAAAAATGTTCAGGCAAGTAGATCAATTCTTCTATACATGCTGCATGGGTATTCTCATAGTGAAGAAGTGGTATGCTAGGACAATATGGTGGGCTGGATGGAATGGGTAGGTAGGGGATGATGATAGAAATTTTTTGGTTTTCATTTTTATCTGACTACCTTTCTATTATTTTCTTTCGAGTGTTTGAATTATTTATTCTCTATCTATTTTAACTAAACAAAAAGTTATTATGGGCGATTTTAGAAAAAAAGAAAAAGAGAAAAAAAAAAGAAAAGGAAAGTTACTTTTCATATATAAAATAGGTTAAACTCACTACAGAAAATATCACCTTCAATAACGATATAAATGGCACATTCATTTATTTCAAAAAATGTTTTTAAAATTAATGGATCAGATTTTGACAATATCAATATTGTCATCCATTATTGTTAATAAAAATGTTCAAGCAAGTAGATCAATTCTTCTATACATGCTGCATGGGTATTCTCATAGTGAAGAAGTGGTATGCTAGGACAATATGGTGGGCTGGATGGAGTGGGTAGGTAGGGGATGATGATAGAAATTTTTTGGTTTTCATTTTTATCTGACTACCTTTCTATTATTTTCTTTCGAGTGTTTGAATTATTTATTCTCTATCTATTTTAACTAAACAAAAAGTTATTATGGGCGATTTTAGAAAATAAGAAAAAGAGAAAAAAGAAAAGAAAAGGAAAGTTACTTTTCATATATAAAATAGGTTAAACTCACTACAGAAAATATCACCTTCAATAACGATATAAATGGCCGTTGAATGTATAAATGGTTGTTGAATGTACTTGAGATCTATGTTGCAGTAAAATACATAAGTCGAGGACTACACTAAAAAAGGCAAAAACTATGTCGATAGGTTGGAAACTCTCATTGAATTTTTCAATATAAGCTATTAATGATAAAACTTCATTTGATCGATTCTAAAATATTGCGAGCAAAATTTAATTTGACGTTATTTGTCATTAATGAAATTACACCATCGTGTAGTAGACTTCATTTATAACTTATAAGACAAAACATGTACCATCTTAGATATGATAATAAAGAAACTTGTCATACAATCTGTACATATTTAATAGTTCGTTAAAGAAACTTGTCAAATACATTGATTAATGGACGCGTAATACTTTTTTGGGTTGGAAGGTTATTTTGGAACACTTTTCAGTCTTAGGAGGATTTAGAGAATGGGTGAAGTTTATGAACGGTTAATATTTAATTTAAACAGGATTTTCTTTTTATTATTTCAAAGCAAAAAAAAAAAAATCCTAGATTTCATTGGAATCAATCAACAACCTCGAAATTGAAATTAGAGAAAAGTGCATTATAAAGAATTCAATCATGGTGAACGAAAAGAAAATCTAATGAAGAAAAATAACCTTTTGGATAGAAGGAGATGATTTTTTTTAACTCCATCATCACATAATATCGTCAAACTCTAAAAACTATATGTGATTTTGTAAACGATAATCTTGTCAAAATAACTTAGTGCTCAACAAGAAAATGAAAAATTCGACTATGAAATATGGCATTAGACTCTAAGAACTATACTTAATTTTATAAACGATAATTTTATCGAAATAACTTAGTACTCTGCAATAAAAGGAGAAATTTGATTATGAAAAGACTTGAGAATGAAGTAAACTTGTCCTTACCACTCCTTCAAATACTATTACCACTTTACTTCAAAAATCGAACCCACCTAGGTTAATGTTTACAATCATGTTACTTGTACAATAAATCTTTACACTTTACGTATTGTCAAACTCGTGGTAGAATTTCATTGTACAAATAAATTACTAAAGTTTATGGCCTTTTTGTCTGTTTTGATTTGATTTTAAGGATCAAAAAGTGAATCCCATTTCTTTCTTGTAACGTCTATGAATTAACCGGAAGCCCCCTTCCCACCTCGGGTGGAGGGCCTTTATCTCCTTCTCATCTTCGCGGAACGAAACAATCCATATTTCTCTCTTGTACATGCCGGCCATCACACCCGGAACCTATAGCTTCTCTATCTGTGTGCAAGTGTATATATTTATGAGGGTAGATATACCTCACACTCAAAGAGAGAAAAATTCATAGATTATCTCTCTGGGTATGAATATCACTTGAGTCTTTTGTTTGCTTCAAAACCCTATAGTTGAAATCTCTGTTGCGAATGAAATTTGAGGTGGGGAGTCAATTCTGTGTGATTATATTTATTGTCTCCCCCCCCCCCCCCCCCCCCCCCCC